TTGGTGCACCTGAGTCCGCTCCCGCTTCAAGCATCCGTTGTCGATGGAAAACAGAACGTTGGCCATTTCAAGAGTCTGGGGCATGAGCATCGAGAGCTCCTCGTTGGGCGCGTTATGAAGCCAGAGGAGAATGTGCGCGTGTGCCGACCCGCGGTGCTGAAATTCGATCCGCTTAAAGTAGTCGACGACTATGTACGGCCTTAAAGGCGATACACGGGTGTTGCGGAGAATGTTGAGAATTACACGCACCAATCGGTCGAAGTATCTGGCACAGACCACGGGATCGTCGTTTACTACCTGAGCTCAATAAATGCTGTTCATTTGCTCCAGTGGTACTTCGATCTCGCCGGGCTTCAACCGAAGGCGTTGAAGCAACTGCACAAGGTCGGGCCAGTGCATTTCTGAGGCAGAAAGAGTGAGGAACGCGGTCGGCTTATCCAACTGCCGTATCATAGCAAAGAGGTCTTTCTTGCGTTGTGTCCAGTACTGCACGGTGTTGGGTATACCATGCATGAAAGCCATGTCGTGCTCGACCGCTTGCTGCACAAAATCCTTGTCGAGCAACTGTTGTTTCGTTGGTGTTTCCAGTGCTTTTTATGTTACGGAAGGCCACACACATGTCACCGGCTACTCGGTGCCTAAACACTTTCATGGCCATGTACAGCACGTGCTGCGGGGTGGCCCCTCGACGGTCTGACCTGCGGATCTCACTCATGGCGTGCGTGAAGACTGTCGGTTTTGCGCTGACATCTACTCGGCGCGGCTCACCGAGATAGATCTGTGGGAACGAGAGCTCCTCTGCATGTTCGTCGTAAAGGATGCTCACGGGCCTTTTTCCCTCACCTGGCGCAATGGCTAGAAACTTGTCTTCGTCCCATACGAGAGTGTGCTGAGCCAGAGTCATGGCTGTAGCCACTTGGATCGGATCGTTGAGGTCTGAGCACTGCGGGAGCAACTCGATCTCGTCGTGTTCGTCCACTTCTACGATATCCCCCAAACGGGCAAAATCGCACTTGACATTATAATGCTTGTACAGCGTGCTATCACACAGCAGCTTAAGCCACGGCAGCAGATCACATTTCCTTACTGCCCCTGCCAGGTACGTCGTCTTTGCAAGCATACGCCGCTTCAAATGTACATTGAGGGCTCGGTCTTGTACGATGGCACGAGGCAACATTGTCACCATGTCATCCACAACAACACAGACGTTCACTACTGGTCCCTTAATGCCGTGTTGACCTCCACCGTGCATCAGCCGTCGCAGTTGCATGAAAGGAATTCGTGGAGATATGAGTCTCTCACTCACCGCGTTCAGTTGTGGGAGGTGGGCTGGCTTCGGGGGATATACATAACCATTACTCGAGGAAAGATGAGGAATATGACCCTTGTGCACTGATTGTATGCAGGTCGAGCACAGTTTGAATTGGGTTAGGTCCGAGTTTGGAAATGATTGCTCTAGGGTCTCGTGACATCTGTCCGGTAGCGGTTGCAAGTCGTTTTGGAACCAGAGCCGATCACAGACTGAACATACGCTCCCAAACGGGTTGTCTCTAAACAGCCGTTGGAAAATTTTTGTTGCACCGTCAGGCTTAGCGATCCTTGCCTTTTGCTTGGCTTCCGCTTCGGCGGCGCTCACTCTGGCTGCTCTCGACGGCGGCGATGAGCCTCTGCTTCGGCTTCGCGCACTTCCGGGTCCTCTCGATAGCGGCTCCTGGCTTCCGCTTCGGCGGCGCTCACTGCTGCCTGCTCTCGGCGGCGGCGATGAACCTCTGCTTCGGCGTTGCGCACTTCCGGGTCCTCTCGATAGCGGCTCCTGGCTTCCGCTTCGGCGGCGCTCACTCCTGGCTGCTCTCGGCGGCGGCGATGAGCCTCTGCTTCGGCGTCGCGCACTTCCGGGTCCTCTCGATAGCGGCTCCTGGCTTCCGCTTCGGCGGCGCTCACTCCTGGCTGCTCTCGGCGGCGGCGATGAGCCTCTGCTTCGGCGTCGCGCACTTCCGGGTCCTCTCGATAGCGGCTCCTGGCTTCCATTTCGGCGGCGCTCACTCCTCGTTTCTCTCGGCGGCGGCGATGAGCCTCTGCTTCGGCGTTGCGCACTTCCGGGTCCTCTCGATAGCGGCTCCTGGCTTCCGTTTCGGCGGCGCTCACTCCTGGCTGCTCTCGGCGGCGGCGATGAACCTCTGCTTCGGCGTCGCGCACTTCCGGGTCCACTCGATAGCGGCTCCTGGCTTCCGCTTCGGCGGCGCTCACTCCTGGCTGCTCTCGGCGGCGGCGATGAGCCTCTGCTTCGGCGTCGCGCACTTCCGGGTCCTCTCGATAGCGGCTCCTGGCTTCCGTTTCGGCGGCGCTCACTCCTCGTTGCTCTCGGCGGCGGCGATGAGCCTCTGCTTCGGCGTTGCGCACTTCCGGGTCCTCTCGATAGCGGCTCCTGGCTTCCGCTTCGGCGGCGCTCACTCCTGGCTGCTCTCGGTGGCGGCGATAAGCCTCTGCTTCGGCTTCGCGCACTTCCGGGTCCTCTCGATAGCGACTCCTGGCTTCCGCTTCGGTGGCGCTCACTCCTGGCTGCTCTCGACGGCGGCGATGAGTCTCTGCTTCGGCTTCGCGCACTTCCGGGTCCTCTCGATAGCGGCTCCTGGCTTCCGCTTCGGCGGCGCTCACTTCTGGCTGCTCTCGGCGACGGCGATGAGCCTCGGCTTCGGCGTCGCGCACTTCAGGGTCTTGTCGACGGCGCCGTTTAGCTTCAGCTTCGGCGGCACGCACTTCAGGATCTTGGCACCGGCGGCGCTGAGCCTCTGCTCGGGTAGTGCGTTTAGCAGCAGCTGCTTCATCTGACTCGCTCATTTTGTGAAAAAGAACTGTCTGATTACGCCTCGTCGTCGTCGTCTTAGTGATATCACTCATGCTGGATTATGGCGCCGGCGGCGCTGACCCTCAGCTCGGGCAGCACGTTTAGCAGCAGGTGCTAAAGCCCCTCTATCCTGAGAAAAGTGGCGGCATTCATTGTTCTTGAAATGCTCGAGACACGTGCCATGCGCCAATTCTGGGAAGAACATGGCCACTGTAACATGGCATCTGAAATCTAGTTTGAATGCGTGCTGTGCCGCCATGATCGTTCCAAAGTCTGCACGTTGCACGTGCCTTGTGCATCGACGCACCGTGCGCTACTTTTAAGACATGAAGGCGCTTTAGCAGCTTTCAGCTTCTCTTTGTTCTATTATTTTCCTGCTGCAGGGTTTTTCAATTATTTAATTTTGGCGGAGAGGTACCACGTGGGGCTACTGAACGGAAGGGCTCCGGTTCGAAGCCGGCCGAGGGACAAGAGATAAGTCTTTAAAAGAATTTTTCGCAGTAATGAAAATTTGGATTTGTCCCCTCTGCTCATCTTCCCTGCTCCCCTGCTTTCTCCTCCTAACCTCTCGGGGGCCACGTGACCTGGGGTAACGTGACGGGGGGGTCACGTGAACTGGGGTGGGTCACGTGACCTGGTTGCATGCAACCCCAGGTCACGTGACCCACCAGGTCACCTGTTGCATGTTGCAGGTTGTAGGCAACCTGTTGCATGCAACCTGTTGCATCTTCTCTGAGCTGCATGCAACAGGTTGCACAGGATGCAACCTGTACCAAAACAGGTCACGTGACCTGGGGGGGTCAAGTGACCTGCTTTTTCCTCCTAACCTCGCGGGGCCACGTGACCTGGGGTAACGTGACTTGGGGGGGGGGGTCACGTGACCTGAGGGTCACCTGTTGCATGTTGCAGGTTGTAGGCAACCTGTTCCATGCAACCTATTGCATCTTCTCTGAGCTGCAACAGGTTGCGCAGGACGCAACCAGTTGCATGCAACGCGCGGTCACGCCGACGGCGACGGCGACGGCGACGCCGCTCAGGCTGGAAACGGGCCCCTAAGAGCTGCGCTCTAAAAACGCACAGCGAACATTGTACACTGCAACAAATTTAGGGAAGCCCTTAACAGCGAGGAACTTGAAGACGCTGACTTTGAATCACGCCTCAACAGCGCCCTGAGGACTGCAACCATCAAAAAGGACATCGGTGAAGATACTCCAACACCCGATCTCCACCTTCTCAAGCTGTGGGCCAAGCGACTGCTAAAGATACAAAAGCACCGTAAAGGGCCAAAAAGCACCGAAGCCAGACTCAACATCACCACGGCTACGGTGGAAGCGAAGGTTTACGCACAAAAATTTGACGAGCACCGCTGGCTCGACTACAGCGCATCGCTCTCCGAGAAAACGTCGATATCGAAACTGTGGGCCACGAATCGCGCGTTTCTTGGAAAGAAGAAATGCAAAGGGGCAACACTCACACTTGCCCTTAAGCTCAACTAGACTGAGAAACAACTCGCCGGAATGGCAAGGGACCTCTTTTTTCCCCAGCCTTTACTTGAGGAATTGTCCTTCGCCATACCACGATGAAGTCCTGGCTCCGGATTACGGCATGGACCGGCCCTTCACGCGGGGCGAGCTCGAAACCCTATCGAAAAGACCATCAGGAAAATCCTGATGGTCTAATGGTCTGATGGAGTCGTATTTTGGGACGTCTGATGGTTTGATGGCCTGATGGTCTGATGGTTTGATGGTCTATTGGCCTGATGGTTTGATGGTCTGTTGGCCTGATGGTTTGATGGCCTGATGGTTTGATGGTCTGTTGGCCTGATGGTTTGATGGCCTGATGGTTTGATGGTCTGTTGGATTGGTCTGATGGTCGAATGACCTGTCGTATTTTGAGACGCCTATTTTTTACGGTTTGATTAGGGTGGTTTCATGGCTAATTTGAAACAAATCGAGTTGGCCACAACTTAAAAAACACAACAATATGTGACTGCATAATCTGGAAACTTAATTATGTCATGCCTGGAGCATGACAAGGTGCATATCCCACTTAGAATTTAATTATATTGTCCACTGCACACTGGTAATCGCCAGCCGACATTTGAGTACGGCGAATGCAGCTACTAATAAGAATAAAGTCAAACAAGCTGCATTGCTTTGATATTTTTATTATGAAGTTATGAAATCATACATTGTTTCGCTGGGCGGAATGGCTAGGTAGTACAGAAAAACCAGAAACATTCGAGGAAGTACTATTGTGACCAATATTAGTTGAAGCGCCATGACGCTTGGCGTGCGGTACTATCAGAGCCACCTGTCGGATTATCAGTGAACCTCAGTGTTTGCTGAGGTTTAGGCAGGTTGCTTCTTGCACTCATTGTGCCACCATGAGCTGAAAATTGACACGGAACGGCATAGTGGTGCAACGAGCACAAGAAGTGATTTGTTTCTACCTCAACGCATACCAAGGTTTGCTGAACAATCTGAGAGACAACTCTCATCGCGTGCCACGTGCAGTGGCGTTTCAGCTCATATTGGCTGCGATAGTACATTTGTTCCATTTCAATAGTATTGGCAATATATAAATTAAGCTAAATTAATATGAAGAAAAGGGTAAAAAGGCTACAACATGGGGTGCAAGCGATGGCAGACCTGCAACAGCATGGGCAGTCCGTGGTGGGACCACGCATCGGGGGAGGACAGGCCGCAAAGGGATGAGCCTGGACATATCAAGGGCAATTCAGAGATCAGAAATGAGTCCAAACACAGGACGACCATTGACATACGTAAACAGCAGAGTGGGCCTAGAGACGACTAAGGGGCAGTAAGAGTGACGTGCTTCATTGTAATTGTGTGACCATGCAACTTTTTGGAGAGTGAGCGAGCACGGCCTGATGGGATGGCTGTAGCGACCAAGCAACCCACAGCCTTTTTCAAGTGGTCAGCTGATCAACAGACTACTTTAAAGTTGTTTGCATAAACATTTAGATATACCCAAGTAGCACAACTCGCCGGTTTGGGACTGGGGCGGTACCGGTCTGCCGGTAAGATCCTACTGGGGCGACGCTGGAAACGCACCGCGGGGCGACAACGGGCCAGTGAGATTGCCAGTCACTGGCCAGTGACTGGGACTGTCTGGGACGCCCGGCACTGGGCGTCCCAGCGAGTTCCCGGGATGCTGCCAGCACAAATCCCCAGCGTAGTACCAGTAACGCGGTAAGATACCAGCAAGACCCCAGGCTAGCGGCCTCAACCCATACAGTCCCCGGGCTTGTTTTGTCCCAGCGAGTTCCCGGGCTGCTGCCAGCACAAATCCCCAGCGTAGTACCAGTAACGCGGTAAGATACCAGCAAGACCCCAGGCTAGCGGCCTCAAGCCATACAGTTCCCGGGATGCTGCCAGCACAAATCCCCAGCGTAGTACCAGTAACGCGGCAAGATACCAGCAAGACCCCAGGCTAGCGGCCTCAAGCCATACAGTTCCCGGGCTTGTTTTGCCCCAGCGAGTTCCCGGGCTGCTGCCAGCACAAATCCCCGGTGCACTACCAGCAGTACCGCAAGATACCAGCAAGACCCCAGGCTAGCGGGCTAAAATCGTACAGTTCCCGGTCTTGTCATACAGCCTAACATGTGGTTTTGTGTGCAATTTACACCTGAATAGAAATGATGTAGTTCATAAGAAGAATAATTTTAACAACAAATGAGTGTAAACAATTATGTTGCACTGTACATGAAAGTAAATTTCTGGCATAGGTATACACCTCATTGGTAAAGCGGCTGCCACAGCCATCTGTCGCTCATACACATGATAGCAAATAAAACATACAAAATTGTTACCGTAATTGTTTATTGTCAGCTCCAGTGAAGCTACAGCTTGGCTGGTCATCATGGGCTTGTCGCTAGAGGAGTGCGCTGGATGAAAGAGGCTGCATGTCACGGGCCTAGGAAATGTTCTTCACACTTTTCATGCAGCTTGTGATGTAAGTCGACCATGCACCCAGGAAGGGGAGTCCTTCATTAGAGCACCTGCAAAGAGAATCAACAGCACAGTAAAATGACAGGGTAAATAATTACCAGCTGCACATGATAATCCAGAAATTCCAAACTGGGCAAGCACTTAAAAGGCTAAAACAGCGCAAAGGACGACGGACAGGGTAAAGGACACGGACAGAGCGCTGACTCGAAACCAAATTTTCATTGAACTCAACGGCGCAATATATACACACTATTGAGAACAAAAAAAAAAGAAAATCAGCCTGAAAAACACCCAAAACAAAAGCACAAAAACGAAGTAAGTATCACCTCTAAAAAGATAAACCAAGCTAATCAAGTGGCCAGAAAACCAGAGGCATGAGACAAGAAGCCCATGTAAAAGAAAAACTTTTTGTAACCAATGCGTTAATTGTCTTCATTTCATTTTCAATCTGGAAACTATATCAAAACAAAAATACTTTGATTGCCCTAAGGGACACCTGTTACAACACACTGGATAACCAAGCGGCAAAAATGGCCCAGTTATCTCATAATCAAGGTTAGCTATTTGCATGAAGAAGGCCCACTTCAAAGAAAGGCTCGTGGAAATCATCTACTTTAATTCAAAAGGGCATGTCGAGAGACGGGCAAACTCGCCGGAGTAGTTGGCATGTAGTTTAACATTGCCGTTCGTCCCGATAGGTGCGAGAGATCCAGCATTTTTAGGTAAATATAGCGATTCATTAGTCTTACTGAGACAATGACAAATCATATCCTTGACATATTCGCGACCCTAGCAAAACGGACAGCACCAAGCAGGAAAACCGGGAACCAGCCAGAACAGGTCGCTCTGCGCCTCTCCACGTCTCTGGCGGCTTTCACGGACACGTGTTGTCGATGCGGTGGCAAACAATGTAATTTGATGAAGGTCTGAATATTTCTCAAGCTTGCCTGAGTGTTCATCAGTGTGATGAAGCCTCAGTAAATTGTTTTTTTTCTATCACCTGTTTGAAAGCCTGTTTACTCCACAACACACAATCGCGTGCTTTCAATTTCTTGGATGGGGAGGAATCAAGGAAAAACGTTTTGATTTCTTCTCTGTCTCGAATGACATTCAAAGTGACGACTACTCGGTAACTGATAAGTGGTATGTAAAACAGACGAGGTGTTTCACTGGAGGGAACCCCAATGCTGCAGTCAAGTGAATGGGAAGGTTCATTAGCTGCTTTTCTTGAATTTGGCTGTGTTTGATTAGCGTCAAGATTGAGCCACCCACGCTGGTCGGTGCATTGGCTATTCATCTTGGCAGCTTTTCACCGAAAAAGCCTCTGGACCACACCGAAAAAGTTGGGCTGATTTCGCATCTACTTGATTCTCGAAAACCTCCTCGCTGCATACGATTAATGAGGGATATTGTCTTCTTTCAAAAAATGGGGGACGCGTCTCGCAAAGTTAGAAGCTGTCACGACATTATGATCTATTGCGCCTCCAATATTTATAATATACCCTCGTTGAAGCCAGCAGCAATATTCGTCTACATTGCTCAGGTTGTCCGGCCACAAAAGATACTCTCTTTCTCCATTCAGGATTTGAAGTCAAGTTTAATGCAGAGGGGTTCTGCGTGAATCTCCGATGAAGACTCTCTTCAAATTTGTCCGCAATCATCTCCGTGCTGCCGGCTAGAACCATATGGCTGAGTTTAGGTAGTATCTCTCCGTCTGTCAAATATACTTTGATTCAGCAGTTCACCTAATAGCTTGTCAAGTAAGCTCATATTTCAGCCCAAATAACATACTAATATCCCTTTAGTGGGACATGGTACGTAATATAATGCATAACCCGCACATTCGTCAAAATGACTTCGATTGCCACTAAAACCTGAGTTGAAATACGAGTATCAGCTGCTTAGTGGGGCTCAAGAAGCTCAAGCTTGGCTCAAGAAGCGCTTGCTTAATTTTCGTAATTTTCCTGCAGCCTGTGTTGCTGATCGAGCAGACGACTGTAGCTGTTTCTTAATACGCACAAAAGCTCGATTTCGCCGACAGATAAGTCGTATGGTCGAGTGATGCGAGTTAGTTGAAAATTACTGTCGGTGGAACAATTCTGTAGTCATCGCTGCTTTCCTTACCTGATCAAAACTGATTAGAGTCTATTACCGTCTCTCCGGAGCCCATAGTTTCGGTAATGAACAAAACCTCCGAAACAAAAGTTTGACATGAAAAGAACAAAAAGCACCGGGAAAACAAAACTATGCTCTGCAAGTTTATCTGCACCGGCTACACTTAACCGTCGCAGTTGAAATACCTATAAAATAGGGCATTAAACAAAAGAAAATCTGTTAAATTGAATGCGCTACCCGTTCAGGCGGCCTGGCCGAGCCGACGCGACCTGTTCCCAGCCGCCATGTTTGTTTGGTGGTGGCGCCCCCTATAGATCGTTGGAGTCGCGAATACAGCTCATTGTTGTACACATACTAATGAGATTGGGTAGACACATGTAAACATATAATATATTGCAGAGTATGGCCCCTGTGTTCCCACATAATGGCAACCTGACTAAAACTCATCTGCAGACTTCACCGAATAAAAAATAGCGACTTACCCAGAAACTAGTATATATTATTAGCGTCTACCATAAACTCACATTGAGTGTTTACCATCGGCATGCCCCATAGCCCTTGAAAACGCCCGCAAGCCTCACTTACTTTAAGCATATGACATCATATGACAAGAAACATTCCCTCGTGATCATCATTAATATCTACAGGTGCGAACAGTTCAGGCAAATCAATAGAAAGATAACAAATCAGTAGTGAGGTGGTGTACAGTGGCTGGTAGGTGCAGGTTAATATGTATGGGACATCTATTTTCTGAGTAATATTGCTTATCTGGTCAATTTTCTTCACAGACCCATCACATACTGAGACAAGGTTCTCAATACAGTGAAAAACAGGAAGGAGGAGTGAGTTCCAGATTTAGCTTTGCGCAAGCTATGTGGCAACTGACTTCATCCTCTTAGAATTTATTGGAGTGGATCTGGGTATGATTATGTCTAGCCCAACAATACTGCTAGGAGCACCTTCAAAACCTTCAGAAAGGGGTAGAGGAAGTTTGAATCATTATTTCCGTATTGCGATGAGAGCTGCTCATACTGAGAATTGATGTGAGCCAATGTCGGCCATCCTTCTGCCTGAAATATCTATGTGTCAGCCACCCCCTATCAGAAAAAGTTTTAGCTGAGCGCTTTTTACGGGCCGCTCCGTTCAGCCACTGAGCAGGAAAGTAATTAGGCACGCACGTAACGCTCAGTCGGCAGAGGTCATCGGGGTGCAGGAGTTGTCTGCTCCATCGCCATCTGCGCTCCGACTGGTCGTTGCTGACTGAGCGTTGTGAGCATGCAGGTGCTTTCCTTTTGAGTGGAGCGGGTCGTAACAATGCTCAGATAAAACTATCTAATGTCTATGTCGCAGCCTCAACAGCCAAACGAGCAGTCTTCTTCCTCGCTTGCACAATAGACCAAAATTGCACTGCATACTGCTTTAGAGGCTTGTTGGCATGTTTCACACTTACTCTCTGCAGACAGCTAGGACTGTCGGTAAGCGAGGAAAAAAAAAAGTGTGAACACATATCATGCACGCCAAAAGAAAACATCAATGGAACTACACGATACTGCATTAAAGTTGCCAATTGGGCGCGTTTTATACCGCACAGCCACTGTGTGTGCACAAGTAAACTAGCTCTACATATACC